TACCTGTCTATACAATATGTTACATGTCTATATAATAAGTTTCATGTCTATATGATATGTTACATGTCTATACAATATATTACATGTCTATATAATATGTTATATGTTATGCAATATGTTACATGTCTATACAATATGTTACCTGTCTATACAATATGTTACATGTCTATACAATATGTTACATGTCTATATAATATGTTTCATGTCTATATAATATGTTACATGTCTATACAATATATTACATGTCTATATAATATGTTATATGTTATACAATATGTTATATGTTATACAGTCTATATTTATACAGTATATTTCAAGTGTATACAATATGGTAATGTCTAAATAGTATATTACATGAGTGAACACTTCAGTACATGTTGAAACATTATATTACAAATATATATAGAATATGTTAATGTATAAATAATAAAGTACACATGTAAACAATATATTACAAATCTAAGATATTATTAATTGTCATAACAGTTAACCACAAATATATACATGATATAACCTGTCTATACATTATATTACATGTCTATACATTATATTACATGTCTATACATTACATAACATGTCTATACATTATATTACATGTCTATACATTATATTACATGTCTATACATTATATAACATGTCTATACATGATATAACATGTCTACACATGATATGATATGTCTATATATTATATACCATGTCTATACATTACATAACATGTCTATACATTATATTACATGTCTATAGATTACATAACATGTCTATACATTATATAACATGTCTATACTTATATAACATGTCTATACATGAAATAACATGTCTATACATTATATAACATGTCTATACATGATATAACATGTCTACACATGATATACCATGTCTATACATTATATAACATGTCTACACATGATATAACATGTCTTTACATTGTATTACATGTATATACATGATATAACATGTCTATACTTATATAACATGTCTATACATGAAATAACATGTCTATGCATTATATAACATGTCTATACATGATATAACATGTCTATACATGATATAACATGTCTATACATTGTATTACATGTCTATACTTATATAACATGTCCCTACATGATATACCATGTCTATACATTATATAACATGTCTACACATGATATAACATGTCTTTACATTGTATTACATGTATATTCTTATATAACATGTCTATACATGGTATGACATGTCTATACATTTTATACCATGTCTATACATTATATAACATGTCTACACATGATATAACATGTCTTTACATTGTATTACATGTATATACATGATATAACATGTCTATACTTATATAACATGTCTATACATGAAATAACATGTATATACATTATATAACATGTCTATACATGATATAACATGTCTATACATTAAATTACATGTCTATACATTATAGTACATGTCTATACATGATATAACATGTCTATACATGATATAACATGTCTATACATTACATAACATGTCTATACATTCACCTACATGTCTATACATGGTATGACATGTCTATACATTCTATAACATGTCTATAAATGATATAACATGTCTTTACATTGTATTACATGTATATACTTATATAACATGTCTTTACATGATATAACGTCTATACATGATATGATATGTCTATACATTATATAACATGTCTATACATTATATAACATGTCTTTACATTATATTACATGTCTATACATTATATAACATGTCTATACATTATATACCATGTCTATACATTATATAACATGTCTATACATGATATAACATGTCTTTACATGATATAACGTCTATACATGATATGATATGTCTATACATTATATACCATGTCTCTACATTATATAACATGTCTATACATTATATAACATGTCTATACATTATATAACATGTCCATACATGATATAACATGTCTATACATTATATGACATGTCTATACATTCTATAACATGTCTATATATTATATTACATGTCTATACATTATTTAACATGTCTATACATTCTATAACATGTCTATATATTATATTACATGTCTATACATTATATAACATGTCTATACATTATATAACATGTCTATAATGGGAAATCCTCAATTAGGTTATAACATACCTTAACCTTTCCCATGTCGTTAAGAGGAAAGAAGACAGTGAAGAGACCAAAACAAATCTGCTTCCTTAATTAAACACATACGCTATCTCTGTTTTCCTTTCTCTCTTCTGTTGTTTTGGCAATGTTTACCAAAGTACACATTCTAGTATGTTTTTGGCTGTTGTAAGGACGCAAAGCGTTAAACAAACCAATACAAAAATATGTCTGCACCGGAATTAATTCATCTAATACAAATATTTATTTTCCTGGTTTTGATATTTCAAATGTATTTGTAAGTTTCGAAGCTGTCCAGATAGTAAAATGAATTTGTGAAACAACTCATTGTTACTTTATTTTGTTTTTTAATTTAATATCAAATATAGAACCCTCAGAGAGGTAAGAGTTGACTCCGAGGCAAATATCAACAAACGTAAATTATCAGAAGAGTGTTGTGCTATTATTTGAATTCTCAGAACGAGTAATGACGTCTGCAGCAAAAGACAAATAGTAAGGCCTTGTACCGTGCAACAATACTATTGAATGCATACGACGCATACTTGTGTCATAGCTTAGTACGTATTTGCGCAATCGTCTGACCTGATATGATATGTACACAATGTAACTCGAGCTAAAATAGACCTATACACGGAAGCATGTATCATAAGTCTAGCAACCTAGACCATAGCCTGCTTACGTAAGAGTCAACAACGTAAGATTCTTTAAATAAATATGGAAATCTGGAAAATGAATATAATGATAAAAGAAAACGAAATTCTCATTTTATTCACCGGGAATCCATACGATACTGATATTACTACAAATGTCAAACAATTAATACGAAACTTACACATCACAAAACATCTAAACTGAGAATAAATCACGTACTATTTACACAGATATTCGGTATGAAGCAACTTCACTAGTCATATTAAAGATGTAAATCATGTAATCATAACGATAAAGACCAGATGTGGATCTCGAATATATTACAAATCCATACAGTATGTTGTCGTCTCTATGATCTACATGCATGTCGGTATGTTATATTACAAATCCATACAGTATTTTGTCGTCTCTATGGTCTACATACATATCGGGATGTTATATTACAAATCCATACAGTATGTTGGTGTCTCTATGATCTACATACATGTCGGTATATATATATGTTATATTACAAATCCATACAGTATGTTGTCGTCTCTATGATCTACATGCATGTCGGTATGTTATATTACAAATCCATACAGTATGTTGTCGTCTCTATGATCTACATACATGTCGGTATATATATATGTTATATTACAAATCCATACAGTATGTTGGTTTCTCTATGGTCTACATACATATCGGTATGTGATATTACAAATCCATACAGTATGTTGTCGTCTCTATGATCTACATACATGTCGGTATATATATATGTTATATTACAAATCCATACAGTATGTTGGTGTCTCTATGGTCTACATACATATCGGTATGTTATATTACAAATCCATACAGTATGTTGTCGTCTCTATGATCTACAGACATATCGGTATGTTATATTACAACTCCATACAGTATGTTGTCGTCTCTATGATCTACATCCATATCGGTATGTTATATTACAACTCCATACAGTATGTTGTCGTCTCTATGATCTACATCCATATCGGTATTTTATATTACAAATCCATACAGTATTTTGTCGTCTCTATGATCTACATACATATCGGTATGTTATATTACAAGTCTATACAGTACGTTAATGTCAGTATAACACATGTCAGTATGTACAATATGTCAAACATTTACATGTTTTCATAAAAACCCAGTTTATACATAAATGGCAATGGCTATATGTATAGCACATGCCTAAAGATAAATGTACCAATCTGTATAGTATTGTTCCTGTCTATACATTATATTAGCTGTATATACAGTATGAGTTTATTACATGTACACGTACAAGTAGAATATCACATGTCAAAAGCCTAAATAACTTAATCAGTATATTACATGCTTATAATGTAAATCACTTTCTCAGTATATTACATATCTATAGCATAAATTACTTAATAAGTATATTACATGTCTTCAGAGTAAATAACTTAGCAGTATATTACATGTCTGTAGCGTAAATAACTTAATCAGTATATTTCATGTCTTCAGAGTAAATAACTTAACAGTATATTCCATGTCTGTAGCGTAAATAACTTAATCAGTATATTACATATCTGTAGCGTAAATAACTTAATCAGTATATTACATATCTGTAGCGTAAATAACTTAATCAGTATATCACATGTCTTCAGAGTAAATAACTTAACAGGATATTACATGTCTTCAGAGTAAATAACTTTCTCAGTATATTACATGTCTTCAGAGTAAATAACTTAACAGTATATCACATGTCTGTAGCGTAAATAACTTAATAAGTATATTACATGTCTTCAGAGTAAATAACTCTCTCAGTATATTACATGTCTGTAGCGTAAATAACTTAATCAGTATATTTCATGTCTTCAGAGTAAATAACTTAACAGTATATTACATGGCTTCAGAGTAAATAACTTAACAGTATATTACATGTCTGTAGCGTAAATAACTTAATCAGTATATTACATGTCCTCAGAGTAAATAACTTAACAGTATATTACATGGCTTCAGAGTAAATAACTTAACAGTATATTCCATGTCTGTAGCGTAAATAACTTAATCAGTATATTACATATCTGTAGCGTAAATAACTTAATCAGTATATTTCATGTCTTCAGAGTAAATAACTTAACAGTATATTCCATGTCTGTAGCGTAAATAACTTAATCAGTATATCACATGTCTTCAGAGTAAATAACTTAACAGTATATTACATGTCTTCAGAGTAAATAACTTAGCAGTATATTACATGTCTGTAGCGTAAATAACTTTCTCAGTATATTACATGTCTGTAGCGTGAATAACTTAATCAGTATATTACATGTCTGTAGCGTAAATAACTTAATCAGTATATCACAGGCTCATACCTTACCATTGTCAGTACTTGAAAAAAGGCAAGATGTACATGTTTTTCACTCATATCACCGTATCTTATGTAGCCCCTGCAGCATTTGGGATTTTCTTGCATGTTTTTTTTCACAGGGAACATTTTCTTAGGACTACAGCTGTTGCGAGGACATAAAAACCGTGTATAAACAAATACATGTCTCTTTCAGGTATCATTCAAATGACACCACTCTTTCCTGTTTGGGTTTTAAAGTCTCTAAGACATAATGTTTTTATATCAGTATGAGTATCATCACGAGACTTAAAACGTTAGATAGACGTAGGCGAAGTCAGTCACTGGCCTTTCTCCTCTCCTCTTATCCGTCGCCTCCACTTCTGCTCTCATCTTCTTGGTTTAGCCTTATTGCCACGTCTGTACGGTTTTCGAGTCATAGTTGGAGAAACAAGAACAAGTGTAGCGAGCTCTGGTGAAGCCACATAATTGAGCAGGCCCCTGTCCTTTTCATATCTCTTTCTGCAGGGAACACCTTTCAGACATGCGTAAAGTGAGACGTTGATTAAACGTTCGTACAGTGATTGCATATCCCCGAGTGATCTGGAATACAAAAGTTGATGTGAAATACACCTCCATTTATAAAAGACATATGTTATATAAAAAAATAATAATCAAGTTGTATTTTGGAAAATATGCTTATGTATTATAATTTCATAGCTTTTTTGTTTCTATTTGTTGTCGGTCATTTCCATTATATGTATATTAACTCGTTCAGGGTTACCGCATGTTAATTTCACCTGACCAATGTCTCGAAAATTACAACAACAAGAAACTAATTCTGTTTCATCATTTTTACCAGATTGATTGTAAGTTTATGGATTTACTCTACATAGTTGGCCTGCTGTATTTATCAAATCACTATCGATAAAACGGTATTACCAGACATCGGTGTAATACAGGTTACTAGTACCATTGAATTTCACGCAACGCGGTTCAAGGGAAAAACGTACAAAATTTACCATTTTGGGATTTTGTACGGTTGTTTGGTAATTTTCATTACATTTTGAAATGCATCAAATCATGTCCTCACAATTTAATGTTGGCTATGCTAGTTGTGTTCTACAACACTTATTTGCATTCAACACAACTCGTGATCATACCTTTCCATTTGCTTGTACAGATCAACGAGTACTGTCACGTCCTGAGCGGCATAGTCTTTCATCCTATCTGGTATACTGCCATCACGGTTCCGTTGTAAGAAGTACGCTTGGTTCTGTTTGAGCTCTTCTTTAGTTCTTTGTTTTAAATCTTCGTTGATGTAGATGACATATTTTTTACACAATGTCTCGAGGCCAGTCGGTTTTATATGCTTCATGACCGTCTGTGTTTGTTTTGAGTCCAAAATCTGCTGGACCAACTGTGAGAGGAAAAATCGTATACATGTATATATAATCTATAATCATCACACAATGTCCCTCAATCTTTGTTTCCGATATATTAAATATCACTTCACATCGATCACATATTTATTTAGTTTGATAATGCGGACGCCCAATAACCTTTACTAGACCATAGGACATGACGTCAGTTTAGGACTTAATAGTGGAGCTAAGGAGGACAAATCGTTTGAAAATATATATATAAAGATGGTCCGAAAACAAATGTAGAAATACAACGAAAGGGACGGGTGCTTAACACTCCTATATTAAGTTACAATTAAACAATTGGGAAGAGATAATTCACTATCAGTGTCAACCCCCTTGTTACGTAGACTCATACTTCATCATCGGTTATTCCGTCTTTGCGTATTGCAGAGTTATCTTCTTTTGGGAGCAGGTATTGATTGTAACGTCATTGGTTTTTGTGAGAAAATTCCGTCGTTTTCTCAAAAATTGATGACGTTACTCTCACAAACAAGTGACGTAACAATCAATACCTGCTCCCAAGTGAAGATAACTCTGCAATACGCAAAGACGGAATACGTTCACAAACTTTTGGTTGATTGGAACTCTCTAGTGAAACAACGGGAAGGAATATATAGTAAACCGTTTTTTAATTGCAACAAATGAGGAACTGTTGTGTGAAATTAAGATATTACAACGCATTGGAAATGTCTGTATTTTATGGTAGCAAATATCATATGCCAATTTAGAAAATATGTAAACATGTATAAATCGTGCCAAATGTGTAGGTGGATTTTGTCATTTTTATTTTCAAGGTAATTTTTGGCTACAAAATACCCATAAATCGATTCTTACCTTTGTATCGAATACGTTGTCCATTTGGATTGCATGTGTGGTCCACAGAGCTTTACTGTCATTGAGGCAGTCGTGGATTACCTGTAGACATTAAAAAAACAGTAACTATATATCTTCCAACAACTCACCGTAACATATAATTACACACAAACTACCATTATATATAACTACACACAACCCACCGTAATATAAAACTACATACAAACCATCGTAATATAGAATTACACACAAACAATAACATATTTTATTTTTGTTGATTTGTCGAACTAAATAAAACTTTTGTTTGGAATGTGTCGCATGCATAGAATGTGTCGCATCAATCGTTTTTATAATTTTGAATCACTATGTTCTTCTCGAAACAATGTTTTTCTTCCAACTTGAGTATTAAAGTGTTAACTTTACCTGGTGTCCGATTCTAGATATTCAATTTTTTATATATTGATTGAAATGATTTTTTTCTCAAAATGTTCACATTAATCTCAAAAGAAAGTTACTAAAATGTCATTTAACGTTTTAAAACTTGTTGACACATAAATTAGAAACATATAATCCTTATATTCTAACATTTGTACCTTTTTTATCTTCTTCGATTCCAGAATTTTCCTTAGCTCTACGATAATATCTGGACATTTCAGTACATCAAATAAAAACACATTTTGGTCAAAGGTGGCGATTTGTACCAGTGCAAGTTGTATTTCATCCTTGTTCATGTTGAACTCGGTATCAAAAGCTAGAAAGTCATTCTGCATCAGCTGATCCTTCACTCCCGATTTTTGAAATGTGTTTAGATCCTGAAATACCTTGACATTTACTTTGGACCGAGCAGAAACATCAGAGGTGGCCATCGGTCATTTGCTGTTATCTAAAGAAAGACAGTTCATACTGTATAGCGGTTATATTTCGCGGCGGTTTTAATTTCGCTATATTCGCGGTTTGACTAATATCCGCCAATTCTAAACACCAGCGAAATTATCGGAAATGTTAACCACTTTTACAGACCTTATCACAGCATGTTGAAAATACTTATAACCCAAAGCTGTTATGCAAGCTTAAATGAACTCAAATCAGATTATCACCGGACAACTGGACAGTCCGTGAAAAACAACACTTACATTTAAGTCCCACAACATATTTATGTGTACACAGTAGGTGATTAATTTATAACAGTTTACTCCTACATGTACATACATATTTGATATTCTTTCGAATGACGTCACTGGCGGATGACGACGCTCTGGATCAGTGTTTTCAAACGGTTACCTGTATCTCGAAGTTTAATCCTTAAATGAAGCCAATCAAAGTAATTTGCACGATGCATGGGATTCGGTTGCACAGCGAACTTTAACCCACGCGAATATGTACCGAATACGAAACTACGAAATATTGACCCCGCGAATCTAAAGCGCTATACAGTAAACAAATAAAAGGTATAAGCAGGAAATAAATTATAAACAAATTTATCTAATTTATCTATCTCTTATCAGAATAGTTTGGTTAAAATGATCTAAATAGACAAAATGTTCAAAAACGAAATATAAACAGAATGTCAGTACTACTAAAACATCGGCAGGAGAATTCAGAACAAAGGGTAAGGCAGCATGAACTCCTATATAGGCGTCACCAGGTTCTCAAGAATGTATTACCCACCACATCTTTATGTGTCTCATTGATACTTTCCAATAAAGTACACTTCCCTATTGAAACAATGCAATAATGAGCTGTAAAGAGACGGTTGATATGGGCCTTCGTAGTTATGGTATGTATATGTCATTAAAATAAAAATAAATTAACACAAAAAGGAATTGAAAACTTCTTTTGCGAGCTTTCAAAAACGTATCTTTCCTTTGTTATCCCAAGAGTGTAAATAACCGGTGTATCGACTCTAAACCACTGAAAACAACTCACTAAGCCACAGTGTTCATGAAGTTTTCAGCACTGCAGACCCCTAACATATTAATGTAACATATACATAATATGTAATATGTACAGGAATGCATTGGTAATAATACAAAGTATGTTCTTACCTATAAATAGTTAAGTAAAATGATTAGTGTACGTGCAACCGGTACAATACAATTGTTATATAAACAGATCGATTTGGTAGCGAATTCGCCCGATATGAACCCATACTGTGTTAAGGTTATTTTGATGATTTATCTATTTACCAAACAAAATCAATAAAAAAGTATTTAAACTAAACTTTAATCAAATTAATCAAATTTATCATAAGTATTACACGTTCTATGTAAATAGTATAGACAATTTACCTGTATCGAGTATCGGGTATCGTGCTCAAGATTCACAACGACATATGATGTTTAAATGTTTGGTCCCATATTGTAACTAAGGAAGTTCATAAATGCGATGTAAGCGTGTGTAATTCTCAGTACAGTACAAGGAATCCGTTTCCTAGAATAGGTTTTACCTGTATCCTGTCACAGTACACGTAGATATGACATGATAATATCAAAAGTGACCATGAAAATACCCAATCTAAATTAAATCGTTTTACATATGATAGCACTGTGGTTATCTATCAAATTCATGTACATTGTTTCGGGAATTCCCTTAAAACAACTTTTCATAGAAGAGACCTGAATCGAAAATAATTACTATTTATAAAATTCTTATATCATATGATTCTTCAACCTAAATGCAAACTAACAAAATGAAATGTGATCATTTTAAGTGTTTCACGATCTTATCTTAACACTTAGCTGATAATACCTAAACACCTTATGGACTTCCAGAAGGCTACATGGTTCATCGACCAATGTCAACTTCACCCATTCAGTTTATTGAGATATAAAAAACATGTAGATAATTATCACTATTGTTCAATATTTAATGTTGAACTAAGTACACATACACAGGTGATTGCACCTTTACAAACTAATAACAGATACAGTATACAAGACATGAATTACACTGCATAATACAGCTGTTTCGTCCTTATCCCTTTTGTGAAGTGGTTCATGATATACACACTTTACAGATTATTTAATCTTAAACTAACCAGTACTCTTCTTATTCTTTACATCCATTGATTAGGGTTTTTTCTGCACGTGTACCCTGTTTCACAAATGTGACCTAGAAGGACGACACTTCCAGTATGATGCAGCCAAATTCGTGCTCGGCATGCTATAACTGATAAAAAATGTTAAAGGTGCAATTACCTGCGTGTGGGTTGTTCTTCATTATCTACTTATCTAGTGCCAAACAGTGGAACTGATCTACGGCCTCTGGGTTGATATAATGATACTTGATACGAACGAGGCCTTGTTTTCAGTGTTATTGCAGCTTAATGTGTATACAGAATAAAATTTCAAAAACTTCCTTTTCATAAAAGTGTGAAACTGTGTAAACAACTTCAGAGTAAGTGCCTTTTGATAGTTATAGTTATGCATTATATAAGATTGTGAAAGCTGATATAAGACGTTTCTTCAATTTTTGTGATTATGAAAATTGACATGTATTTATCATGAGGCTGATCAGGAAGATTCGGTGTGTTTACTACCGCAAAATCAGATCTGTGAGGTGTATTAAAGCCATGTAAAACTAATGCACAATGCAGGTATTGGATGACTTTGCGTCATACATTTTGATTACACACACAGAAGCATTGACAGTGATATCGTATGTACAATACGCGTTACTCTCATGATTTAATAGCGATATGTTATTGCAAGTTTCAGATGTCTGACTTTAAAAAAGTTGGATAATGCGTTCCAGGTCTTAAACAATACATTATTTTAAAGTTCCACAGAAAGTTTTTTTCCAGCTGATTCAATGCACAGATATGTTTCAAGAAGAAACAAATCAGAGGGCTCTTTATCGTAAAAATATTCAATGGGCAATAAATTATGTACTTAGTTACACTACAAGTCTTCTTCAGCGTCTAAACACAGTGGCAAAACCAAGTCACAGTCGACAGGAAAAGACAGGGGCTAAGGAGATACCAAATATAACTATGTTTCTGACGTATATATGTTATACAGGAAAGGCAAGGAATTATCCTACAGTCCCCCATGGTAGCTTAGTTTGTGAAAATTTGTAAATATTTAAATCCTGTACAAGCTTTATGTACCCTTTCCCCTAAAGAAAAGGTGGACCCAGTATTTGTAAGGTGGTGACACCCTTCTAGATTTCCAGATTATTTTGCGACGTATGCAGACTGAAAGCCTAAGGTAAGTCTTGGCCCTGTAGTAATTTTTCAAGTGTATTTATGTTTATCGTTTCATACTTTGTTCTAGAATCATCGCTGTTGAGTTTGAGTTTTGCTTAGGTATTCTCTACTCTTTCTTTTTAGTAAAATATCTAATTATCAGTAAATCAACAAATCGTCAATGTATGATCCAAGTTAACATAAAGCTTTTCTAATAGGAACCTAAACTACCTGCAAGTCAATCATGCAGGAGAGAAAAAATCTCAGGCTGAAACTTCTAAATGTAAAATGAAAATGTTTGTTTATAACTATTTTAATCAACATTATTACCTAGTGGTACCCTTAGTGGACTGGATAAGATTGTCTTAAAATATAGCAGTTAATTTATTGATAAAAAACAAATCGTATATATGTAATTACAGCCTAAGAATGATCAATTTACATGAATGATAAACACAACCCATCCTTCAATCAAACACTTCATTATTTTTATAAAAAAAAAATCATTTTACTCATTTTACATATACTATAAAATGATTTTACACATTTTATTGTAATTTATAACAAAAATGAGAAAACATTCATTTATTGACATAACCTCCTCACAAAACTGTCTGATTTCAATTAATCTTTTTTGTGTATGTTTTATTAAAACATGGTGTTTATTTTCGTGGTAGAAAATGGCTTTCTTCAATTGCTACACCTGTGCCATGTGACTATTATGGACCACTGACCTTATGTCTGTTCACTGAACCGTTAAATTGATGCTAGGGTGTGTTATCAATTAGTACTAAACATTGTAAACCTATTGGGGAGGAGGAGAAGGAGGTATTGGCAGCGTAATACACAACTACATTAACCAGTCAAAACATATGACCGCCAATTCAAGCTTGTTACGGGGGTTACGCAATCGAACCAGTATATACTCCGTCTTTGCGTATTGCAGAGTTATCTGCTCTTGGGATCAGGTATTGATTGTTACGTCACTTGTTTGTGAGAGTAACGTCATCAATTTTTGAGAAAACGACGTAATTTTCTTGCACAAACCAATGACGTAACAATCAATACCTGCTCCCAAGAGAAGATAACTCTACAATACGCAAAGACGGAATACACACAGGGAAAACTCATTAAAACTTCAACTGTTTAAATTTTTGTTATAACGATAAAAATATGTCCATATTTGTCAATATTGTCATTCTACGACAATCAATGTTAACCACACACGGTCAAAGATAATCAAAGTTAAATATTTACATTGACACGCTTTGTAAGTTGTAGAGTAACTGTTCAAAGTCAAAAGGTATGATAATTGCCAGATCTTCTTATTTTACACTCTCCTAAATGAGATGATTTCAAGTGCAGCTTGCATCAGATTTATATAGATATGTTGAAATTCAGACATCGTAGGTTCCTTTTTTAAGCTTCATACTTCTCAGATATTTCTCATGTATCTGGTATTTAAGTCCAGCTAAGTACTGTATAACGTTTTCATAATTTGTTATGCATAATCCAAGTGAAGAAATATTTAGTAAAACAATTATCAAAAAAAAGTGTACGCAAAAATTGAATACATTTTGCAGTAGTTTAGTTGTCAACAGCATGGCCACATTCAGAATATATTGACACTTAAAACAGGATATAAACCCGTATCATAAAAATGTTCTCGGGTACAAGTTTGCATAGTGTGTTCAACCCCACTGTAACAAGCTTAAATAATGTAACACGGTCAAAACGTTAAAAGTGAACATTGGAAAGAGAAGTCAACACTAAATGTATCCTAAATTATTGCAAGTCATTGTAAAAATATGAATATTATTGAATTAATACTGTAAGGAGAAAATGAGATTGAGCACAACCTCTGAACTTGAAACCAAATGAGTATAAATCTGAACATTCTCTCGAATCCAAGTCCAATTTAGCACCATCGTTTTATTTACACCACCATTAACATTGTAGGTTTTTAAAAAAAAGAGATTTACTATCAAACATCAACATACATAAATAGTTGATTCAGTTAAAACTTCCATAATTTATTCTGTTCTATAAATCAAAAACGTTTGGTTTGCTATCTTGTTAAACGTCCTGTCAACATATAAGGTCATTTAAGGACGCGTCCCCATGTGTGTTGTGTATGCGTGCTTGCGTGTGTGTGTGTGTGCAGGAGGCAGGGTATGTTGGTGTTAAATAAAAAAAACCGGAAACTACTTACAAGACACCAATAACAGTGAATAAACAAACCCTTAACACGGGAGGCACAAAATGAGTCATATGATACTAGGCGATACACCCGTGGCAACTAGAAACAAATAGCATATGTTTAAGTTACGTCAGCGTTTATACGTGACCGATATGATGACCTGATTTCTGAGAAATGATCGTAACGTCGCAGAACATATAATAAAAAGCATGGTTAACTTAAAGCAAAATCATTGCTATGAATAGTACCTTCCAAAAATGTGAAATGTGTTTAAAATGTTCTAAATTATTTCCTGAAAACATGTTACAGGAACCTATGTTATATCAAAATAAAATAATTATGTATACTATTTAAGAAAAAACCTTTGGGGGAAATCATAAATAATGGAACATGTAGACACTCTTTGTTCAACAGTTTATCTGAACATATCATTTATTGATAAGCAAAAATAAGAAAATAACAACAACAATGAAACACATATATGCCAACAAAATATTATTATAAATAATCGACAAATAATTTATGTGATGTTCAAATAGTAATAGATACAGACAAAGATAAAAGGAGTCTTTGTCGATTGGGTTGGATTAAAATTGTCTTGAATCCATGACTACAATCATTAAAAAAAGAAATAACAAATTATGTATAATGTTACCACTTGTGTATGATATAGTGAACGAAATATAGGAAATGTGGAATATTTAATATGCGAACAATCTTCAAGGTTAAGATTGGGAAACTATAATAATGCCGTTCAAAGTTTTAATTGAGTTATCGTAAGCATCCATTGAATAATATAAATTATATCACATTATCATATTAATAATAGTGTTATATAAATAATATCACATAATCAAAACAATATAAACAATATCACAATATCATATTATATAAACAATATCATAATGTCGTTTTATATAGATTATATCACAAATGGCTTGAGATGATATATAATGACCAAATTAGGTTG